TCTCGTTGATGAACAGTACCACCACACAAGACGATTTTGTCGTAGAAATATCTAGCACAAAGAAGTTGGCTTGGAAGTATAACCGCTCAGATTAATGAATAAGTGCACTTAATTGCTCACTAAATGCTCAATTCAAATCCGCAATTGCTCATATTATTAATTTATTATTTAATTAGTAATTAATAATTAAAAATACAAATTTATTTTTTCCAAAACCGCTCAGAATAATGAATAAGTGGTCATAATTGCTCACAAAATGTTCAATTCAAATCCGCAATTGCTCACATTATTTATTAATTACTAAGTTAGTTATTAATAATTTAAATAAATAAATTTATTTAAATAAATTTAATTAATAAATAATACAATAAAATATATATAATAATACAATAAAATTAATAATAAATTTAATTTAAAAATGTTACACTTGTTCCGATTGATATATATTATATTATATATATTCCTAGCTCCTGAACTAGGAATCCTGTATGTCAGGAGCTAGTCCCTTCCATACATTATGCACAAACAATATTAACATTAATTATAAATTTCAATTTTATTTAATTATACTTAAATAATTAATTTATTTAAAATTGCCAAAAACAGGTTAAATAAATTATTAAATTAAATCAAAGATAAACATTAAAAAAATGTATAATAAGATGTGGTATTGACTAAGTAATGACAAATGTGTGGGTGTATGTAAGTGTTTTGTGTATGTGAGTGTAAGAGCTAAAAATATACATACATATATATATATATATATATATATATATATATGTGTGTGTGTTTAATCAATTATTAAGTATTTACATTCTAGATTTTCGCAGCTGTCATAACCGTGTTCATTCAGCCACGACAAAAGTAAATCTTTTATTTGTTTTTGGTTAAGGTTCCTTAGTTTTATTATTTTGTTTAACTTGTTATATAAGTGATGGGCTTGTAGGGCAAACACATAATAACATTTATCGTTTTAGACACATTTATCGTTAGTAAATTGTTCTCAAGCCATCACTGCTGATAATCCACATTTCACTCGTTCCTTCACTATTTTCCAGTTGGAACCTTGATAAAGTAATATTGTATCATCAGCATTCATTTGCACCTCACCTCCACAAACATTTAATTCACACAACGGGTTGATGTAAGCCAGGAACAGGCTTGGACCAAGTGTACTACCCTGTGGAATGCCGTAGGTACATTCCACACTGCTACTGATGTAGTTACCGACACGGACCATTTGGCTCCTATCAGATAGGTAATCTCTAAACCACACCAATGGAAGACCCCTTACGCCAAGATTCTCTAGTCTTGATAGAAGCACGAGTATCGATACGGTGTCAAAAGCTTTTTTTAAATCAAGGAAAATACCTAGGCATTTGCTACCTTTATCCAAGTAAGAAAGTACTTTCGATGCCAACCTAAGTGTGACATCCACCGTAGAACGTCCAGAACTAAAACCCAATTGGTTATCTGACAGTAACTTATTACGTTCCAAAAAACCTATTAATCTTTTGTTTAATATCTTCTCTAAAAATTTTGATAATGTTGATAACAGAGAAATAGGTCTGTAATTAGATGGAACTAGCTCATCACCCGCTTTATAAACTGGTATTACACTGGCTTTTTTAAATAATGATGGAAATACACCATTTTCAAGGCTAAGATTATACAGATGTGCTAATGGCTTACAAAGTACTTTCATATTATTTTTAACCAATTTTGTAGTAACTCTATCCCAACCTGGTGCACTATTATTTTTTAAAGTAGTAATCGTAGATTTTACTTCCAAAGGGTCTGTATAAAATAGCGATAAGGAATGCATGCAATGAACCGGGCCAATGGTTTTAAGTGCTTCCTTTGCGAGCTTGGCTTCAGTTTTATTCATCTTGGTTAGTGTGTGTGATGCTAAGGTACTGCCTACGGAGGTGAAAAACTTATTAACTTGGTTTAATGAATCCATTGGGGTGGCTTCGATTTCAGTAAGTTCCGATGAGCAAGATTTTCGATGACAGGGAGACAAATTTCCTTAATTATTTTCCAAGTTTCTTTTATTTTACCTTTATTTATTTCAAGTTGATTTCGATAGTATTGCGCTTTTAATGATTTTATTAGGTTATTGCATAGATTTCTATACTTAGGTACTCATTATATTCATTTTTAACTTTATATCGTAGGATGAAATTCGTAGTTTTTTATGCATTCTGTCACGTTTTCTTATTGATTTAACAACACCTAGTGTAATCCAGGGGTTTAATGGTTTATTCCTCTTAGCGGTTTTTGAGTAAATTGTATTTCTTTTAATTATGTTTTCTAAAGAAGAATTCAATATATCTGTAGCTTTATTAACATCAGTAGCTTGATAAAAACTATCCCACGCGATACTCTCAATATCCTTCTTTATTTTCTTCAAATCTAAATTTTCTTTTGTGCAAGACCACAGTTTTTTTTTAATTTTTCCATACCTAATAATATCGGTGAGTGATCTGTAAATTCTTCGTATACAATAGTTTGGACAAAATTGTTTGTTTTGGCAATAAAATGGTCTAGATACGTTTTCTTTCTAGTTGGTAAATCTATAGATTGTTTGAGGCCGTATGTAGCCATCATATTAACATAGTCCGCAGAATAGCTTGTCAACTTTTTTGGCATTATATCTAAATTTACATCACCTGTAAAAATGATATTAGTACCATTGAGACAGGATATAATCTCACCAATTGACTGGAGGTACTCAGGCGGATATTGAAAACATGGTGGTGATTTTGAAAAAATGATATTTCCATTCTGTGTACATATCGTACACAGAATGGAAATATCATTTTTAGTTTTAATATCAGCATATTTCCTTCATGACATGTAGGTTCGTATGAAAAAACTTGAAATATATCTTTGACGTATGCGATTACTCCATCATTTTGATTAATTAAGTGCTTAGTGTGAAATACCTTATATCCGTCAATTTCTGGTATATTGAAATCATTGTTTAACCAGCACTCCGTCAAAATTATATCTATCGATAAATTTAAGCTAGTCACAAAAACAAGAAATGAATCAAAATTACAGTTAACACTTCGAATGTTCACTGTAAGGGCACTGAGTGATACACAATTTTCTCTCCTATTAAGCAGAACACTTGTAGTATTTTCAGGGTTCGACAAACTTATACAGGAATAATCCTTAGTGTTATTTATATCCGCGCAAATATTATCCCTAATCCGATCTATTATATTTAATTAATAAACTTGCACCGTTCATTGCAACTCCCAAACAAAAACAATAAAATGTGTAACTAAATTAGGTATGTATAAAAAAGTAAACAAAATGTGCAGCAATCTTCACGCAAAATGTAACTAAAAATACTGTAAATACTCAAAAATACTCCGTAGAAGATATATATTGTCATATTACTATTATACTTAAAACAAATAACCTTTTTTTTAAATGAATAACTGCTCATAATTGCTCAAAAATGCTCAATTCAAATGCGCAATTGCTCACATTATTAATTAATTATTTAATTACTTATTAATAATTAAATAATTAGTTAATAGTGTGAGCAATTGCGGATTTAAATTGAACATTTTGTGAGCAATTATTCATTTTAAAAAGTTTATTGGTTTTAAGTATAATAGGCAAAAACAATTCTGTACTTTTAATTATTAATAACTAATTAAATAACAAATTAATAATGTGAGCAATTGCGGATTTGAATTGAGCATTTTGTGAGCAATTATGAGCACTTATTCATTAATCTGAGTTTTTTAGGAAAACAATTTTGTACTTTTAATTATTAATAACTAATAAAATAATTAATTAATAGTGTGAGCAATTACGGATATAAATTGAACATTTTGTGAGCAATTATGAGCAGTTATTCATTTAAAAAAGTTTTTTTTTAAGTATAATAGGCAAAAACAATTTTGTACGTTTAATTATTAATAACTAATTAAATAATTAATTAATAATGTGAGCAATTGCTGATTTGATTTGAGCATTTTGTGAGGAATTATGAGCAGTTATTCATTAAAAAAAAGTTTATTTGTTTTAAGTATAATAGGCAAAAACTATTTTGTACTTTTAATTCTTAATAATTAATTAAATAATAAATTAATAATGTGAGCAAATGCGGATTTGAATTGAGCATTTTATGAGCAATTATAAACACTTATTCATTAATCTGAGTTGTTTAGGCAAATACAATTTTGTACGTTTAATTATTAATAACTAATTAAATAATAAATTAATAATGTGAGCAATTGCGGATTTGAATTGAGCATTTTGTGAGCAATTATGAGCACTTATTCATTAATCTGAGTTTTTTAGGAAAACAATTTTGTACTTTTAATTATTATTATTAATAACTAATAAAATAATTAATTAATAGTGTGAGCAATTACGGATTTAAATTGAACATTTTGTGAGCAATTATGAGCAGTTATTCATTTAAAAAAAGGTTTATTGGTTTTAAGTATAATAGGCAAAAACAATTTTGTACGTTTAATTATTAATAACTAATTAAATAATTAATAGTGTGATCAATTGCTGATTTGAATTGAACATTTTGTAAGCAATTATGAGCACTTATTCATTAATCTGAGCGGTTTAGGTAAAAACAATTTTGTATTTTTAATTATTAATAATTAATAAATAATATGAGCAATTGCGGATTCGAATTGAACATTTTATTAGCAATTATGAGCACTTATTCATTAATCTGAGCGGTTTAGAGAAAACAATTTTGTATTTTTAATTATTAATAACTAATTAAATAATGAGTTAATGATATGAGCAATTGCGGATTTCAATTGAGCATTTAGTGAGCAAATAAGTGCACCTATTCATTAATCGGAGCGGTTATATTTTCAAGCCAACTTCCTTGTGCTGAAATGTCTGTCGATTGTTGTCTACTTGTCTTCCGCTAATTTTACTATGTGCTCTGGACCGATACCGTTATATATGATTTTTGCAGTCTCTTTTCTTGTAATATTAGTTTCTTTGTAAAATGTTTGATTCTGGAAAACATTCTTACAACACTTTGCCGAGGTAGTCAGCTATATTATGTTTTGCGAAATATGCAGCAAGCTTGACTTCAGCAACACGCGCCAACTTAAGTGTTATTCTCCTTAGATGTACTTGGTGATGAAAAATAAGGCGTGACCGGCTTTTGCGCATGGATCAAAAATAATTTTTTTTTCCTCAGAATCGGTCGATTTTTTATAGTACTTATAAGGTAGACAAACAAGCACACAGTCGACGTCTTGATGGTAAGTGGTTCCTGTGGCCCATAGACATCTATATCTATCCACGTTTGCGAATCAAAATGCAGATGCATTGTCACCCGTGAGGACTAAGATGGAATGCCTCGTTTACAGTAAAAAGGGTCTCCGGTTCTCTACACTCACCATATACGAAACACAGCAGCTTTAAGTTGCATTTTACGCTAGTATTCTGAGAGAGCGTGGTCGTTCCTCGGTTGAGCCGACCCATTCGTGCTACAACTATACTATTAATATAGCTGCAGCATAAAAAAAAGCTTTGCGGCCACCATATAAACATTAGATATTACTTTGCATCGTGCTTTGAAATTATCTTAAGGATCACTACTCATGATGTGTATGTGCCGCACATTCACTGTTGAATAATTAGATATAAGCAAGAACTAAATAAGAATAAATTGAAATTCTAATTTTTCTACCACATCAGTCATGCTTAAGGTTGGACAATATGAGTGCAACAACACTAAATATCATATACATTATTTTAAGACATAACTTCAAGATGCTTCGTCTTATATGAAATTTTTGGAGTGGGTCAGTCGCATTTTTGGTTTATTTATTTTAGACTAGTGTCCTGACCTACTCTAGGTTTGCTTTTTTTTTGTTAATGTAGGTAGGTACATACTACTATTTCGCGCTAAAATCAGCTGTTTGATTTTTTTTTTTAATCAGCTATCTAAGAACATTTGGGTTTTTAAGATGAATATAATGATCCCAAAACTGTCGAAACCCATACAGCCATTTGGAGGATACGAGGTAATAAAGAAATTTACAAACATACATACAAGATACACGCGAAAAACATAACCCTTCCTTAGTCCAAGTAAAAAAAGGACACTTTTCTTTCAAATTAATTTTTAAATCAGGTTTTACTCAACATCAATATACTTCATACTTTGACCAACTTCGACAGTTCCCAACACTAGCAGATAACGTTAAAAATTTGTGCCATGTATTGCCTATCTAAGTGTATTGCTAAGAACAAAACTACATAGTAATTTCATTAAAAAATCAGGTTCTTTCTTTATTGAAATAAAAAATTATCACAAACACCCAGATTGCAAAATAGTTACCTTTGTTTTATTATTGATCAAAAAATAACATTGTATTCAGATGTATAACTTTGACTTTGAGTAAATCATTAAATATTTTTTTAAGTAATAATGAAATCTGAAACCACCATTCAAATAGAAATGAAATAAATCATTATCAGTATACATACTATAACATGTTTTATTTTACTAAATCACTTTCGAAAACTAGACAGCTGGTAAGATGGTTTTGTTATTTCGATATTTTCAGCATGTAAATAAAAACTAAAAATTAATAAAAATAAATTATATATCCATTTGATTAATTATTTACATTTACATTTTATTTTCAATTGTTGGAGCTCTTATTGGTAAATTTGCTTCTTTAACTTGATCTATGATATTTAAGCCAAAAGATGCTGTAGGATCAATGTTACTAATAGAAAGTAATGGAATAGTGTCTCCTTTTTTTACTTTTTCAATACCATTCCATGCAACCATTACACCATTATCTGTGCAAACTTTATGGGGTGGTCTATACAAATTAAAACCAAACTTGTTACCAACTCTTTCCAAACATGAATATATGTAGTCATTACAGGCTACACCGCCTGATATTATAATATTTTTAGTATCAAAATGCAGTAACTTTTTCATTTCACAAAACGTTATGGCTCTTTCAAGTCTATGTGCTAAATGTCTGGCAATACTAGCCTGAAATGATGCACACAAATCATAAATTTCTGGAATTACTTCATCACCCCTTAATCCATGTTCTGATTCCTTCTTTAATACTTTTCGCACCAGTGAATCTTTGAGGCCACTAAAACTAAAATTACAATCTCTATTTTTCAGTAGTGGTATTGGAAATTGAAACATTGCAGGATTAGTAGCATTCTTGGCAGCTAATTCAATTGCTCTACCACCGGAAACTGCTGAATATTCAAAAATATTTTTTAATTTCATTCTTCTTGCAGCCTTGTCCATGACCTCCCCTGGTGCATTGTCTAAAGTTTGACCAAGTAAAAGGAAACTATCCACATCTTTTACTACAGCTAAAAAGCAATGCCCTCCTGATATCAATAATGTCAAGTACGGAAATGGTATATCATAATACATTCTTGCAACTAAAGCATGAGCTTCCATATGATGTATAGGAATTAAAATTTTGTCATACTTTTTTGCAAGAAATTTTGCATATTTTACACCAATTGTTAAGCTCAATAAAAGGCCAGGTTTAACAGTAACTGCTAAAGCATCAATTTCACTAACTCCAATTTTTGCACTTTTTAAAGCATTTTTTACAGCTAAATCAATATTGTCACGATGAAGTTCCCATGCGTGCACGGGATTAACTCCACCATACCTAACATGAAGTGCATTTTGTGAATATAAACATTCACCTAAAATATTACCATAACCATTAACTATGGCACAACCAGTATCATCACAAGAAGTTTCAATACCTAAAATGGTTGTTTTTCTTGAATAAGAAAGATTTCTCCTGTATAAAGTAATAAATGGATAATCTTGGGGCACGGTAGTGCCCCCGCCAAGTCGATATATTTTTAATTTACGACGGAAATACATTAAACATATCATTATATTAAAATTAAAACTTCTTACTTCTAGTATGATATGTATATATTTAAATTATTACTTTATAACCTTCTTATTATTTTGTGTTTATAACAAACGAGTTGGTAAAAGTCAGTACAATACGGCCGACGTATCTTGGCGAGTCCGACCTTCGCGCAGAAGGTTGCGCAATAGCTTTTTTAAGGAACAAAATGGTGGCATGAGGCGACGTACGGGGGGCGGTGGTCTAGGCTAGAGATTGACCATAAGTAAACACAATCGACCCTTTAGTCATAAAATATCGCAATCGATTAGTTTTATTTAGAAGTTATTGATTTTTGTTTATATAAGATATTAAACGAAATAGATTTACAAATATAGTGAATTTTGTTGATAATAAACAAGATTTCGACTTAAATAAAAAAAAAAAACTAAAAACATATTATTTTCTCAGCTGAAAGACATAATGTACTTAAATATCAATTATCTATTAACGTCTTCTTGAGTAACGACTATTTGAGAAAATTTAGAACCTCCTTATAAATTGCAAATAAATATATTTTTATGTCTTAATTTTAATCGATTTGAATAAAAATCGATTAAACAACACCCTCAGGCACGCGTGTTGGACATCCCTTTCTGGTTACTTCGTAAAGCTTCGTGCTTATTCGGCAATGCTCGGTACACGGTAATATTTCTCAGTCACACGTTAGCATTGGTGTCGTGTTCGTGTCGCTATCTCTGTCTTGAGCACAGTCGGTTACAAAAGTTTTCGTTGTTATTGTTGTTTGTTTTTATTAATAGTGTTAAGTTTGTTTTGTTTGTTTTATTTGTTTTATTTGTTTTATTTGCAAGTGTCAGTTAGCACTTATATTATTCGCCAAACATGCCACCAAAACATAACAGTGTGTTAAATCGCCAGGCGAGAAAAATTATTTACGATTTAACGCAATATATGAAAAAAGAAAAAGAAGAAGGCGTAAAAGATGTCGATAAAGTTTATTTAAGAGTTGCTAACGCAACTGGTGTGTCCCAACGCACAGTACAGCGGATCGCAACTGAAGGCAATATTTCGGGCTTACTTTCAGTATTCCGCACGCCTGGTAAAAAAAGGTCTAGATCAAAACCTATTACTGATATGGATAATTTTGACCAGGGAGTAGTAAAAAGATGCATACACAACTTCCACAAAACTGAAAAAGAAATGCCGACGATAAACAAATTACTAGCGAAACTCAAACGGGATATAAATTTTCAAGGTGGTAAAACGAGCTTAAAGACAATTATCAAAAACTTGGGTTTCAAGTGGCGAAAGACCGAAACCAATAGAATGGTTCTTATAGAGAAGACCGACATTCGCCTGAAAAGGATCTTGTACTTGAAGGCAATGAAAAAATACAGGGACGAAGGGCGACCAATTGTATTCACTGACGAGTCGTATGCCCACTCATCACATACAAAAGGTAAGGCGTGGTCAGATGGTTCCGCTCAAGGACTAAAGCGCCCGATATCAAAAGGTCAGCGGATAGTGATGGTACACGCTGGGTCAGAAGCAGGGTTTGTTCCGAACGCGCTACTAATGTTCAAATCTGGCAGCAAAACCGGAGACTATCATGATGACATGAATTTCAAAAATTATGAGAAATGGTTACGGACCCAACTGATTCCAAATTTGAGCCCTAACTCGGTGGTGGTTATCGATAATGCTCCGTACCACAACAAATTAATGGATCCTGCCCCTACATCTAATGACAAGAAGGCAAAAATGGAATCGTGGTTATTAGAAAAGGGTATACCATATGAAAAGGACATGCGTAAACCACAACTTTACGATCTAATAAAAAAAAACAAAGACGTGAATAAAAAATACGTAATAGATGAAATGTTTAAACAAAACAACCACGATGTCCTTCGTTTACCCCCATATCATCCCGATTTAAACCCCATCGAGATGGTGTGGGCTGCCATTAAAGGGCACGTAGCCGCTAAAAACGTCGACTGGAACGTAACCCGGACAATGGAGCTCATACAAGAAAAAGTAAATTTAATGGGTCAGAATGAATGGAGTGCTTTATGCAGAAAAGTGCAAGAGGTCGAACATGACTATAGGAAGAGCGACCATATTATTGACGAAATGACGGATCAATTATTCATCATTAATACAGCTTCAGATTCAGAAAGTGAGTCTGAAAGTGAGAGCGACGATTACGAAGATGAACCTATGCCAAGTACCTCACATGGTACACAAGGGGCCGACGACTTTATGTTAGGAATTTCCCCCCTCAGCGACAGTGATTAAATAATAATAAGTGTAAATAAATAAAAAGTATTAAATGTAAATAATATTGTATGTGTTTGTGATAAAATCTGCCCCTATCGAAAGGTGAGGTATCAAAATTGAATCTTTAATTTATAATGTCTCCAAAGTGTTTTGATATTTTTGGTCACTGTATTAGGGAAATTTTATTTGTACATTGGTATATATAAAAAAATGACAATAACAGTTTTCTTCACGAGTGTTCATGCGCTAAACTTCGCAGAGCCTATATTCAGACTCGCCAAGATACGTCGGCCGTATTATACTAGATCTATTTTCACTTAAATATATCGATGACTTCACACTACACAATACATGTATATATAGGTAACTTATTCAAATAAGAAATTATTTCACCGAAAATTCCTGTTAAATGTTTCTATAGTACATAATATATTAGTAACTACCTACTTACGATTAATTACTTAATAAACATACTCTTTCTATTTATTTTTTGACCATTAAAAACTGAAAACTGAAACCTTTAGCAACAAATCAAAGATTATACAATTAAATGAAAACGTTTGTTGCAAAGAGTATAGTAACAGTCCTATACAGGAAAAGAGAGCCCACTCGCGCGTAATCTGTCAACCGAGGAGTACTAGCGCCGTCTGGTGTCGTTTCGCCACAATATTGTGAGAATGTGTGCGTGCGTATAACACATGCACCTCTACATATACACCTCTGTTCATGGTTCATAATTCATTACGGTTTATGTACTAGGATTAATTATCAACAACCAACTGTAAATTAAACATTTGAAACATTTTTAAAAGATAACTGCATAGTAACTAAATGCTTCAAATGTTTAATTTAATAGTCGGTTGTTAATAATTAATCCTAATACATTACAAATTATGAAGCACACTTTGTGCTTCATAATTTGTAAATAGGAATTAAGTATAATATGTTTTAAAGTGAATGAAATTAAACACAAATAATTGGTACATTATTCTATATTTTTTGAACTTAATGAAAATAAGGAGATTGATAATGATTTAACATAGTTTTGACAATACAACACATAAAACTAATATTTTTAATCTAATGTTTATATCATTAATATATTAATAACACAGTGTCTATACAAAAATAGTAAATTTTATTATTTTAATAAATGAATGAGTTTATTATAATAAATGAATCATAACAAACTAACATTACAAAATGTTAAGCTAATATCATAAGGGTAATCTTAAACGGCTATGAATCAATCCAAAGCTGTAACCACGCTTGGCAAGTGGGTTGGTAACTGCAGTTATTAGGAAGATCAGTCCACCTACTGATGTGTTTCCCTCTTTCACCTCTTACGATGAAACCCACGGAATGATAATATGGAGTTGTGGATATTCTGAGACTGTCACTACACGGTAATCCAATATTTTTTAACAATAAATGATCCGAAACACAGCTTTATTATAACAAAATATTAAACTAATGTCTTTAACAATAAATTTTCACAAACAAAATATGAAAATAACATTTTCTAACAATAAATTATTCATAAACACAGCTTTGATATAACAAAATATTAAATGCTTTGGCATATGGTCTGACACAACTGGTTACTTCGCCTACGCAGATTCCAGATGTGGAGGATCATACACCTTCCCTGTTGGACTTTCTGCTAACCTCTCATCCGAACGGATATTAGGTTGGCGGTCCACCACTGTGCGATTTAGAAGAAGTTTTCTTCCTCGCACAACTTCCTTGTGGAATCAATTACCACCAGCGAATTTTCCGGACCGATACGACTTAGGGACCTTCAAGAAAACAGCCTACTCCTTTTTAAAAAGCCGGCAACCAATAACCTAACTGGCGAAAAGATAAAAAGAAGGCTTGGCCTCTTGTTATTCATAACAGCTTTGACAATAGAAAATATGAAATAATATTTGTTTAATTAAATAAGTGATTCATCAGAACACAGCTTCGACAATCGCCTCATAGAAGAGATATTTGCCATAGTTGCAACGCTTGGCAAGCAGCTTGCCAACCGCAGCTTTTAAATTTAGTCGTTATTAGGAAGGAACTGCTGTCCATCTTCTGATTTGTTTCCCTCTGTCGCCTCTAATGACACTCACGGAATGATATGGACTGGTGAATATTCTTACTGCGCCACACACAAACTAACATTTTTACAATAAACGATTCATATAACACAGCATTCACAATACAAAGTATGAAACTAATATTTTAACAATAAATGATTCTTAACAGCTTAGATAATACAAATTATGAAATAAATATTTCTATAATAAGTTATTCTTAACAGCTATAACAAAACTAGGCATAAATATAATATTTTATACAATACATGATTCTCAACAGCTCTAACAAAACAAAGTACAAAGATAATATTTTTTAAACAGCTATAACAAAACTAGGCATAAATATAATATTTTATACAATACATGATTCTCAACAGCTCTAACAAAACAAAGCATAAATATAATATTTTCTACAATAAAATCGTTTATTGTAAAAAAATAAACAGTTTTGACAATACAAAATATGAAACATATTTTTACAATAAATGATTCTAAACAGCTATAACAAAACCTTCGCTGCAAATGTCATCTTTTTGGTGATCTTCTCAAATGCTACTTGATTACTCATTTATTCTGCATTTGATAGACGAGTCCTGAAATCTTTTATAGTTTTTCTAGACTACTTTAATTAAAATTTAAGTTTTCTCGCAAGCTTTTGTAACAACTTCTAATTCTTAGGGTAGTATCATATTTCGTCAGTTTATCTGAAAATGTTTAATTTATACATTCGTTTTTCCAAATTGGAATTTACAATGTAGACATTTGCAATAAATGTTGTAAAATTATATATTTTAGTATAAGATATTCAGATACTAGACTTTATTTCCTTCTCAACTAAGCAAATTGTTAGAAAATATTGTTAGCTACTAAAATATAAGTAATTAAATATTTGATAAGTTTGATAGTTTTTTTTTAAATGTTACCCCCACACTAGGATTTTCTCCTGTATCGTGGGGTCAGTTTATATACATAAAATTCACAAGGACAAACATCCAGACCTGGGATAATTATTTGTAGGCCATACAAATACTTGTTCCGTGAGTGATTCGAACTCACGGCCCTTAGCGTTGTAACTTATTGCTAAGCCACTGCGCCAAAAACCTTATACAAAAAAATTTATGTAATTATAAAATAATTTTTTTTGAATTTAATGTATGCACACAAGAACAAACATAGTTTTATGTAAAAATTGTGATGTATATTCTGTAAATACTAGACACAAGCACAAGTTAGTTATATCCTCGAGTCCAAAGAGCCAGTAATTCCATCATGGGGCAATTAAGCCCCAGAAAATATGCAGGCCTTATCTATCAAAAAGTTTAAAATTTTTATTAATCAAAAATTGTTTAATAAAGATTTATTATGCTACTAAAGTGTACATGATTGAATAAATAACCCCTGGCAATGAGGTGATCACTACCATGTTGTTTCTGTTTTCATACTAATTGTATACAATACTTAAAAAAGTCCCACAGGGTTTCTTGCTGGTTCCCCCAGGACAAAGGTTTTGTAATCTATGTGTTAAAAATGATTCTATGGTATTCTATTCTTATATATTATAACTTCATTAACATTTGTCTGTGATGTTGAAGGTTGGTCATGTGGATGCAGACGGGGCAGTAAGTCAGGAAAGGGGGTTTTGAGAAAATGGTAATACACTTAAATAGCTACGTAAAACAGTAGTTAGTACAATACTGCCCTTTCACTAAGGTTTTAATTTTTTTAATTATTTCATTGCACAGTAAAGGAGTTTATTGCTTTTAAAAGTAGCATTTTTATATTTTTGTTAGAACATGATGAGCAGTATGCATTAAATAGTGGAGAAAAGAAGAAAAATGTAGTTAACTTACATGTTTTATTTATAAAACTTTATCAGTGAGATCAAAAATCACATATTGGTTTTTATTATTTGCCATAACAATTCTTAAAAATAGAAAACTTCTCTAAAAATATACTTCTTAGCAAAACTTAAAGACTTAATTATAGAGATCAAAAATTATAATGTTTATAATTATAGTGTTATTTGGCACAAAATTATTCTCAACAACATGAAAAAGCTTTTTAACATAAAATTGTTTCAAAAGGACTTCTCCAAAAAGCACCTTAATGAAAAACAATACTTAAATATAATTAAGAATCACTGATAAGTCAACTTTTAGAATCAGTGTTACCTGGAGGATTATACCAACTTATTCTGTTTCAAAAACTAGCTTACATTTTATCACATTCACTGATCGTATCTATTATCATTTAATTACAGTGTTTAATTTTCTGTGCCTTATTCCTCGTTTGCTAAATTTTCAACATTATTACTCGTATTAACACACAAATTTTCCCAAAAAAGTCTGCAATTAGCAGGCATTAACGGACACAGATTTTGCATTACGTTTTTACTTTTGTCCGTAACGCCTCTTTCAGAAAATCTAGTACAAGGTTAAGGTATTTCTTTTAATTTAAGGATTTTCACTGGTAAAAAAACTTTACTGGACATGTTCTCTTTGTGGCAAATTTTATACAGAAGCACAGAAGAACACATTGGGCATAGAAAATTCACTCTATAAAATCATTTAAATAAATAGCGACTCTTGCTATGAGATGAGAAAACACCAGCTTCCAAATAAAAAAATAAAAGAGAATCATCAAAATCTGTCCTCCTAAAAAACAGTTCTAAGGTAACTTTCAAAAAGTTACCTTAGAAGTTGGTTGAAAAAAGAAATATCTGACATACTGCTCTCTCGGTTACCACGGCAGTATAGGCTGTAATAAATGATATATCTAATAATTGTCTGTCTGATAACCATCAGCAAGCTTACTCTTGAATCCAATAACAATTTCGATCCAATGTCAATTTCAGTTATTAATATTGCTGTTTTACCAAATAATACAACAACAATAGCATTACTGTAATTTAAAATAAATAAGACATCAAATTTTATCAATGTTTCCATGTTATTTTAAATTGATTTGTTTTCTTTTAATTTCTGTTGTAAAAGAAACTAATTTTTGGTTTATTATAAATATAGTTTTCACTGTTATATAAAAAAATTAATTAATAAATTTAAGAGCAGATACATACTAATGATGATGGATTAATTAAAATATTTCTTTATTAAATAAATGGTTAAACATTGTATCATAGTTTTATTAATAAATCCTTATTAAAATTACATTACCTATATCATTTTATTTTTAATACTTATAAAATTATACATTTAATGTAACTTAACATTATATTCATACTTCCTACATGAGAAATCTGCAAATAAACCCCTCAGAAATGAGAATAGACCTCTGCCCAGCAGTGGGACATATAAAGGCTGTAAATAAATTTTTTTAGACTAACATTGATTAACAGTACTTCATTCGTAATATGTCTTCTGAGAAGATTCTTCTCCTCGGAGGTTGCATATTTAGATTTTTATTCTTGGCTTAATATATAAGTCCTTAATAATACAATAATTAGCCCTAAAATCATCATCCCTGATAGAAAAGACGAAGTCTTTAAAATGCATTATCGAAGCTCATTTCATCTTTATTTCAATTGTAATGCACAATTACGATGTAGAATATTAAACACAAAACCTAAACATGCCATTACTTTATCGCAATGAATAAGATAATTGCAGAAAACAAACAATTAATATGAACACTTCATAAGGTTACCGTTTTGCTATTGCCTAAATTTCAATTCCAACTCAATACAAATACAATACGCAGCTGTCAACTAACTGTCAAAACTGTGTCAAGAGTACCGATTTTGCTTACAATCGGATTGGATAAATTCTAATCTCAATTAGTTCACACAATCACCACACAATATTAAACTAATTTAGCTCGAGTGGCTATTAAGAGTATGAAATGTTATAATTTCAATTACGATCGATTGGAATTGTTTTCAAGAGTAAGATTGCAGGTTTTTTTAAGGCAAAAAGGGGACAAATGAGCATACAGTTTACCTAATAATAGGTTAGTAGTTAGTAAAGCAATTATCAAGTTTATAAATCCTTAAGAAAATTTTGTACACTTATTATATTGTATAAGATATAATATGGTTTAAGTGGCCACCCCAAGTATATACTCAATTCCAATTTACCACCCTATAGACATTATAAAAAAACAGTTTGAATCATTTTCCCCCACATACACATTCAATGAATGTGACACCTACATACAGTATCTAATTCTACCATTTAAACATATACATGTTAAATATATTGTTTTTAATTTAAAACTCACCTCCAAGATACAAAGTTGGAACAGCTGTTAAGATTAAATGATGCCCTGTACTTATGTAATTTGATTCAAAGTGGTAATCACATATCTTTTTAGTAGTGAAAATTTTCATTGGTTCTATTCTAATTTATTTCCAACTTTCGACATCCAAATATGGAACATCTTTATAGGATGAGGGAACCTATGTATGATGCACCTGAAAATAAACGTTCTATTAGTACAACAGTGTGAAATTGTAATTCCAAGTAACCTTTCCACAATTTGTTTTGTTTTAAAATGGTTGACCGCACCCGTTGAATTATCAATATGTTTAAGTGATAGGTTTTCAAACATTTCTTACCTTATTCGTCGCATCCAAAATCACAAATCTTTTTTCGTGACATCGTAAGAACAAACTAACAGTAATGAATGCAATGTAACAAAAAGATTAATAAGAACAAAGAAAATTATTAGGTTAACAAACTAAATCTCGTGAACGTGATGCATAATGGCGCTCATGGAAAAAGGCGATGTTGACAATAGAGTACCTGTTGACATTTTATTAAAAATGGCGCCATACTTTTTTCGCGAAACGTCTTAAGAGGGAGCCTGTTTCTATACATTTTAGACTTCAAATTTTTACTACCAACTTTCCTCCCCCTGGTTTGTTGTAATGGTGGCACTTCACATGGCTATTTGTATTTGCGTATTTGCTGTATTTGACAAATAACTTCCATGTGTGGAGAGAATATTTGCCATACTTATTGCCGTATTTGCCTATTTGGCAAATATAGCCAATAACAAATACGGCTTACCGATCGTCTGTCGGTTTTTCAAGTCTCATCAAAGGAGACAAATACGCAAATATACTGGCCACACATGGTCGGGCTTCATAAGCGCGCGAACTGTCAACCAGTACGGACGGACTTGTTTATAACCTCTTAATAAGTAATTATTTAGGAACCTACGGAAAATTAATTAGGACAAAGAAACCGTCGCCTTGCTCTTGGTCGTTTTTTCATCACTTTGTATTTTTTACGCATAATATACATATAATAGTAACATGCGTTCAAATAATAAAATCCAGCTGCAAGTGCAACGTCCATTTTATAGGTACAACTACTTTCTGCTAGCAAACATGTTTATTTTTTATATTTGGCTCCATGTGTAGACGGTTGTGTCGCCCATTTGCCTGTACGTCGAATTTTTTGTCAAATACGGCAACATGCAATCACAAATACAAATAGCCACGTGAAGTGCCACCATATCAAGTACGTACAAATAGTTTTTTTTTTGGAGTTTATGGCCTGGCATCTAGACCTTTAGGCCATACAAATAATTATTAGAATTAGAAACACAGAGTAACTAGTAGATTATACCGAATATTAGAAATACTAATTTATTTATAACCACAAACTAATATGAAGTTATAATCACAAACTATATAGAAACACTACGCGTTTACGCGTTACGCGTCGCGTGGTCATTGTAGTCTTTGCCCGTGGTTCGCGTTGTGTTTCTATATAGTTTGTGGGGTGGTTACACAAGCTATATAGAAACTCTCTGACTAGTATACAGTTATCTGTGATAGAAACACTACGCGTTCAGACGGACGTCTCTGGGTCTCTGGTACCAAAGAGTATAGTAACTGTCCTATACAGGAATCTGGTACCTACATTTAGTTTGCTTGGACCGTAGATTGAGGATTGACAAAGATTAAGATACCCCCTTGTCTGTGCGTCGACCAGCAGTCGGCACGTCAAATTATTTGCGCGTCTGTGAGCCGACCAGCAGTCGGCATCGTTTCCTGTTTATGTTTTCGCGCTCTTTACGACGGAACTACGATGCGTTTTTTAGGTGCGACACTTGAAATCATAGACTAATAATATATACTCAGTGTCAAACTGCTTTACTGTTACTCTTTGCTCCGTAAAAAAAAAATATCGGCACTTCAAATTGGACGCTGTCAAACCAACCGACTCCGGTTTTGTCACGCCTTTGATAAGTTTTCTTGAATCAAATTTGTTGTGATTTGAAGGAGAAACCATGGAAAGGTAAGTACTTTCACATTTTTATTACTGGGAAACATATAATTTTGCTAATTTAATTGTAAAAACCAGGCCAAACCAACGACATAGCCGTCTAACGAACTATCAACGTACTTTTATTTCTGCAATATTTGGTCTAAAAAGTGAATGAAACCGTAATGTTTTGGAGAATTTAAGCTACTAATGTAATTAATTTGCAATGGATGACAATGGTAAACGTGTATTTAGCTTTGAAAACTTTAATTTTGGGTCTAAATACGTGAAGGTTATTTCTTTACCGTCAGTCGGCAGGGGCACAGACAGGGTTTTGGCAGTTGATGACGTCATAACGGCGGCATGTCGGGCATGCTAGAAATTATAGATACGCTTTTGTATTTTCTGTTTGAAGTTATTTTTAAATATTTTGCATGTAATGTTACATCACTTTTAATTGCATAAACATTTAGTTACTGTGGAGATATAGTGGAAGTTGCATACTTTTTTGTAGTATGTCATTTCTGTATGCTTTGTATGGTGTGCAATAAAGAATATTAAATAAATAAAATAAATAAATATAAAATATGGGAGCGAAAAAACTTAGCAGAATTTTTGTAATTTTTTATTTTTTATGTTTGCATCATGTAGAGGGCGCATATACTAACACTTTTTGTCGTAAAAAGTTTTGGGCTTGGATGAACCTGAGCAAAGATATTTAGGTATTTGAAGTACCAAGTAGGTACCAAGATAAAAATACAGCATTTTTGTTTCTTTTTTCTTTTTTCTTCGTTTGCGTCGTGTCGGGGGGGCACCCAAACAAACAATTTTTTCCTGAACAATTTTGGACTTAGACGAACCTGGGCCGAGATAAAGGCATTTGAAGAGCGTCCAAGCCCAAAATTGTTTGGGACAAAAAGTGTTTGTTGCACGATGATAAATTTAAAAATAAATAATTTTATTTTTAACTTTGACAACCAATTTTTTTTTCAAAAAATTTCTCCAAAAATAATATTTACATATTTTCTAGACGTCTTATAGTAAGTTAAAAAAGTTACGCATGGACATTACTAAATTAGCTCTAAGGGCACCTTTTGCATTCATGTCTCGCGTATCTCTTGCATTTTTGTGTTTATTTTCTCTTTGGTTTGCATGCTTTTTGTTTTTGCTTTTTTCTTTAAAGAGGTGGACGTGGTCGTGCTCGTGGCCGTGGGCGTGGGCGTGGTGCGTACGCTGGTGGTGAAGGGGCGCATGCGCACACTGGTGGTGAAGGGGCGCATGCGCACACTGGTGGTGAAGGGGCGCATGCGCACACTGGTGGTGAAGGGGCGCATGCGCACACTGGTGGTGCGCGGACGCGTGGTGGGCCCACTAGCGGTGCTGGCCACACCGAAAGGCCTTCTGCTGTTGATCCGTAATAACAAATTTAACAACTAACAAGTTTCTTCGTTTTTTTTTAGCAACATTAATATTCTGCATTAATATTTTAGATTTTACTGTGGCATGGTGGGGGAGTTGCCGGTGGGGAGGCCTCTAGAGCGGCCGCTGACTCAGCGGCGACCTCGAGTACTGCCTGCCGCAAGGCGAGGGTAAGCACTTCGAAGTTGGTTTTGTTACTCGATTCACGTGCAGGGCATTGAATTTAACTTTCTTTTTAGTCCCGTGCCGGTGTCGTTGTGGTCGTCCATGGACCTCCTCACCGGCAACCACCCGACCCAGCCGCTGAGCCCTCAGGAGGACCGAGCTGCAGCGGCCCAACCAGCAGTAGTTGATATGGAGCTTTGCTCAGTTCCTTCACCTGCTTTGTAAGTTTTTACTTATATTCATATTTTGAAGCTAAACTTTTCGTAACTGGTCATAAAATAACGTATTTTTAACACTATTTATGTTTTACAGACACTTTGAAGTTGGAGGGAGTGGAACCTCCACACCTAATCGGACTCCAACGTCCCGAAAGCGAAATGCGTAAGTTTTTCCTTTATTGCTTTATTAAATATTGATAGTATTTGACTTTGAACTGTTAACTGTTCGAATATAACTATTACGATAGAAATCAAAAAACAACATTATTTTTTCAGATCGGACCACAATGACATGGGGGCTAAACGGCGTCTGTGAGTGCCTATTAATAAATATATATTCTATGTGCAGAAGTGTCTACTTAATATTTTGATTCTTAATAATTTATTTTCTTCTTTTAGAATTACTTCCTCGTCATCTTCGTCGCGTCCTCTAAGGGATATTGAAATATCCAACGCCCTTAATTATGGTAAGGGAAAATAGTTTTGCTTTAGCTGCTAATAAAAATACAAATAAAACCCGTACTGTGTTCTATAAACATCAGCTCTCATGTTACTGATTCTGTTACATAAGTAGTAACTTAATACAGTCAATTATTTTTAGAATAATTGACTGTATTAAGTTACTACTTATGTAACAGATTATTTTAAAAAAAACGTAAATTATTACAGTCGGCCAATGTGGTTATTTTATCTTATATTTTACAGGCAGCGACGAGGACTCCGAAGAAGATGGCGAAGAAGAAATTGGACTCCAATCCACCATAGTCCCCAGGGTGGTACAAATGTTCGCGGCATCGGAGGATGAGGGTGAAGGTGGGGAAGTAGACGCATTTATTTCTTTTTCCTGGCCTCCGACATCCAATGATCACCCACCTGTCCCTAACTCTTCCGGTCCCATTCCTTCCACATCCCATGTTCCTGATTATTCTGTTCCGCCTTCCTTACCTACCCATACTCCCTCGTCCCCATCCTGTCCCATGTCGGAGCCAGGAAATAAATTTGATTTTAAATGGAGGGGGTTCCCGCAACCTCAAACTCCTCCTGAGCTGAGGAGGGAACCGTTCTCCCAGATAAACTGTGGGCCCACGGTTCCATATGCGAGCCCATATGACGCATTTACTGCCATATGGGATCGCGATATAATGGAACACATTGCCATAGAGACGAATCGATATGCACAACAGCTTGCAACGGTCATGCTGGTGGACGGTTCGCTCTGTCCGAGCAGCCGCATCACCAAATGGAAAGACACCGACGAAGTGAATTGCACGTGTATTTCGCTATAATCCTCGCTACCGGGATTGTGGTGAAATCACGTCTCGAGGAGTACTGGAACAGCACGCTGGACATTTTCAGTACCCCCGGGTTCACTGCGGCGATGACGTATGACCGCTTCATGCTGTTGAGCAAATGTCTCCACTTTCAGGATAATGACGGTTGCGATCCTGAACTGATGACACGGGCTCAGGCCAAGTTGTTTAAGGTGCAGCCAATTTTGGATCACCTTAACAACAAATTCCAACAATTATATGTTTTGGGTCAAAACGTGTCTGTGGATGAAAGTCTGACCATGTGGAAGGGTTGGTTAGATATTAACCAATTCATCCGCAACAAAGCAGCTACAGTAGGAATTAAAACATACGAGGTGTGTGAGTCCCAGACTGGTTACTTGTGACGCTTTGAAGTCCACGCAGGCCATGATACCTCCTCAGACCCACAAGAGGACAGTCCAGTTTCTGGGAAAGTGCCAGCTCTTGTGCTCAGACTTTTAAATGGTCTTGAGCATAAGGGCCACACGATTTGGATGGATAATTTCTACAATTCTCCCGCGCTTGCGCGAGAATTGAAAGTTCGGGGGTTTGACTGCGTGGGGACCTTACGAACGAATCGTCAGTTTGTTCCCATTGAGCTGACGAATCTTACGAAAAAAGACATGGCGATAGGTCAGGTGAACGGTTGCACTTCGGGGGATGTGGACCTCATCGTATACCGGGACAAAAACCGTGTGGCATTTGTCTCGACATACCATGGGCTAGCAACCGCGATGTGCGGCGATACACACAAGCCCACCGTCATACCAGACTATAATGTCTGTATGGGGGGGTTGATCGCAAAGACCAGATGCTCGCCATGTACCCCATTGAAAGAAGGCGGAACAAAATCTGGTACAAAAAGTTTTTCAGGAAGCTCTTGAATGCTAGTGTTCTAAATGCCTACATACTCCACAAGGCACACCGCTCAATTTCTCACCGAAATTTTCGCCAAACTTTGGTGAGGGAATTGTTGGCAGCACACACACCACCAGCACCTACCCGTGCACTGCCGAACACCTGGCATTTTCCGGGGCAATACGATCTGCTCCCGGGAACAACACGGAACGAGCACCAGAGGCGTAGTTGTTCAGTTTGCAAAAAGCGAACATCAAGCTTTTGCAAAGCCTGCAACGTGCCCCTGTGTGTGTTTGGTTGCTTTGAGTCATATCACACTTCACAGTAAACTACACAAAAACACTGTCTTACACACAAGGTATTTAGGCACTAGTATTGAAGGTCTATCTGACAAACATTTGTACTTGAGCACACAGTCCACCTGATGGTAAGTGGATACATCGT